ATGGATTTCCAGTTTTCCCAGCACCATTTGTTGAAGATGCTMTCCTTCCTCCATCGCATGCTTTTAGCCCCTTTATCAAATATAAGAAAGTTGTAATTTTCTTCCACAATTCTTAAAAAGTTGACTAAAACTAGTTTTTAATCAGCATTCTTGTTTCTTTTATGTAGGAAAGAATTTTCAGAGGTTCTTACTTAGCTGTTTTTACTGATCTCACTTTCAGTGATCTTTTCAAAATTTAAAATTGCTGGGTTGTTTTGTAATAGGATATTAAACTTTTGTGCGTGTGTGTGTACACACATGTGTAAGAAATTGTCAAATAGGTTTCCAGAGTTGCTGTACCATTTTGCTTTTCCACCAAGAATGGTTGCTCCATATCCTCAGCAGCACTTGGCAATGCCAATTTTTCTTTCTCTCTTTTGAAAGCTATCTGTGCAAGGGTGAAGTAGTGTTTTAGTGGGTATATCATGGCCTTAGTTGGAATTCTCTAATAGCTAGTGATATTGAACCTGCTGTCTCATTGTTATTTGCCATCCACACAACCTTGTGATGAAATGTCTGTTCTAAAACTATTTCTCAGATTGTTCCAAATAACTTCACATAAGTGATAAAGTTGTAATCAGAATTTACAGAGCAGGTAAAGCTTCTGAGTGGCTACTGACGTTGTAAAATTGGGTAGAATTAGAAGCAGCGTATGTGAAAAAAAATGATTGATAAATTGTTCATCCACATTTAGATGTTTCCAAGCCCACATTTTCCTTTTTAACCAATTAAGTCCCAAGTTTTTAGTTCTGCAGATATTTCAATAAAATTGACATAGGTGCTTTAAAATAGGTTGGAAATTAATCTGGAGCTCCTGTATTTATTATGTTTATTATTATAATGTGGCTTTATTATTTTACTATTATAACATAATTGTGTGTCATATAATTATGTACTATATTTAATTTTTATATGTGTTGCACATCTGGGATGATGGATTAAAAATGGGTTAAATATTGTCATAATATAAAGCATTTGACAAATTAATTTTTCTTTGATATCAGCATTTCTCCATTTTATGGTTCTGTGCTGTTTTTCTAAATTTCTTGGAAAAAACTTTTTCTGGTGGAAAAGGAAAGGGAAGAATAGAGAAAACATTCAGTCATTCAGAGCTCACCACTGCCAACCTTTTTTGTGTGTATAGGTCACAGGGTTTGGTGGTATTTGAGAACCTGAACTCTTCACATCACTTATTTAGATATAGTGGAATGTAAGCATACATGAGGAAATTTTCATGAATGTGTGTGTCTTTGCTCCTAGAATCACTTTAACTTTTTTTTTTTTTTTTTTTTGTGGTGCTGAGCCTTGTGCGTGTAAGACAAGCACTCTACTGTGTGAGCTACATTCCCAGCCCCCCTTTAATTTTTTGTTGATAACTTTTTAAAAAAGAGAAATTTCATGGACATTTAAGTGCATACCTACTAAATAGGTATGCTTTTCAAACTTTATATTACATTTGAACCACTGGAAGATGTGATTGAAATAAATTGATGAGCTTTATCCTTAGAATTTCTGACTTGGTAGTTATGTGAAGTGTCTGAGAATTTTGTCTAACAAATTTCAGGTGATACTGATGCTTCTGGTCTTTGAAAAATTTTTTCTTTTTAGATATATATGAGAATAGAGTGTATTTTGACATATTATACATGCATGGAGTATATCATTTTAATTTGATCCCATTCTTATGGTTGAACATGATGTGGAATTATATGGTTGTATATTCATAAATGAACATAGGAAAGTTATGTGCGTTTCATTCTACTGTCTTTCCTATTTCCATCTCCCTTCCCTTTGTCTAATCCAGTGAACTTCTTTTCTTCCCTCTCCTCCTCATTGTGTTAGAATCTGCATATCAGAAAGAACTTTTGGCCTTTGGGTTTTTGGGACTGGCTTATTATGCTTAGCATGATAGTCTCAAGTTCCCTGCATTTACCAGCAAATGCCATAATTTCAGTTTTTTTATGGCTGAGTAATATTCCATTGTGTATATATACCATCTTTTCTTTATCCATTCTTCTGTTGAAGGGCATCTAGGTTTGTTCCATAGCTTAGCTATTGTGAATTGAGCTGCTATAAACATTGATGTGGCTGCGTCACTATAGTATGCTGATTTTAAGTCCTTTGGGTATATACCGAGGAGTGGGATAACTGGCTCAAATGGTGGTTCTATTTCAAGTTTTCTGAGGAATCTCCATACTGCTTTCCATAGTGGTTGACCAATTTAGTCCCACCAGCATTGCATAAGTACCTTCCCCCCCCACATCCTCACAAACATTTGTTGCTTGTATTCTTGATAATTGCTATTCTGACTGGAGTGAGATGGAATCTTAATGTAGTTTTAATTTGCATTTCACTGGTTGCTAGAGATGTTGAACATTTTTTCATATATTTGTTGACCACTCTTATTTCTTCTTCTTTTAAGTGACTGTTCAGTTCCTTTGCCCATTTATTGACTAGGTTATTTGTTTTTTTGGTGTTAAGTATTTTGAGTTCTTTGAATATCTTGGATATTAATGCTCTTGAGGTTCAGGTGATTTTCTCCCATTCTGTAGGCTCTCTCTTGATTTTCTTGATTGCTTCCTTTGTTGTGAAGAAGCTTTTTAGTTTGATATGCCATTTATTGATTCTTTTTTAAAAATATTTTTTTAGTTGTAGATGAACACACAATATTTTTATGTGGTGCTGGGGATTGAACCTAGGGCCTTTCACGTACGAGGCAAGCACTTTACCACTCAGCTACAGTCTCAGCCCCCATTTATTGATTCTTGATTTTACTTCTTGCATTTTAGGAGTCTGGTTGAAAAAGTTGGTTCCTAAACTGACACGATGGAGAGTTGGGCCTACATTTTCTTTAGTAGGCACAGGGTCTCTTGTTTAATGCCTGGGTCCTTGATTCACTTTGAGTTGAGTTTCAATTTTATTCTGCTTACGTATGGATTTTCAGTTTTATAAGTACCATTTGTTAAAGAGGCTATCTTTTCTCTAATGTATGTTTATGGCACCTTTGTCTAGTATGAGACAACTGTATTCATGTGGATTTGTCTCTGTGTCTTCTATTCTGTTCCATTAGTCTTTGTGTCTGTTTTAGTGCCAATATCACTGTTTTTCTTACTATAGCTCCGTAGTATAATTTAAGGTCTGGTATTGTGATGCCTCTTGCTTTACTTTTCTTGTGAAGGAAGCTTATGGAAGTGATTAATTACATTAGTTGATTTCTGTATGTTGAACCAACCATGTTATTCTTCTGATCTTGACCACACTGGGAATGTAGTAGAAATGTAGTAGTTATTAAGGAAACTGGGAATGTAGTAGAAATGTAGTAGTTATTAAGGAACCAGTTGATATTACCTCCTCACCTTCTCTTTGTGTGTGTGTGTATCCATGTTTGTATACTCTATACTGTTATATTTCAACACATACATGATTTTTGCATCTAGGCGGTGTTCAGCAAATGGCTACTTTAGGTTTTGAAGTTACAGGGTAGGTCATTCTAATGAGATTATTAGAACAGGAAAAAAATCTGCAATAAATTGTCTTTAACTCCMTGTCTTTTCTAGTTTTGTTTTTCTACATATATTGTGAATGGATTACTTTAGGGCAGTGCCCTTTTTTTTCCTTCCGGTGCTTAGGATTGGACCCCAAGCTTTGCTGCCTTATACTTAGGCAAGTACTCTACCACTGAGCTATATCTCCAGCTTGTTTTAATAATTTTTTATTGAGCTAAAACTTAGCAAAACCTATACATGGTTAAAATTTATGGGGAAGTGGGGATAGGAAGGACAGCAGAATAAAATAGACATTATTATTGCTGTATGTATATACGTGACTGTATGACCAATGTGATTCTGCAACATACACATTCAGAAAAATAAGAAATTATACCCCATCTGATTCAAATGTATGATATGTCAGGATCATTGTACTGTCATGTGTAAATAATTAAAACAAATGAAAAAATTTATAGTTTTGAGAATATATTATACTCAAGTAACCACCATTATATGAATAAATTCTAGAATATCTTAATCACCTCTTGGGCTCCTTTGTAGACATTTCCCAATTCCACCCCAATTCCCATTTATATTCTGATCTGTTACCTGTAACTATTGTTTTGCCTTTTCTAGAATTTCATATAGATTGATTATATAGTATGTACTCTTATGTCTGGTTTCTTCTGATAATGTTTAATATTTCTTAACTGGTCATTATATCATCAGTTCATGTTTATTACTAGGCATTATTCCATTGCATGGTGTGTACTTGGGTAGCCATTTAGGGAGTTTATAGTTTTTATTCTTTTGTTATGAATGCCTTAGTTTTATTTTAAATGTATATAAAAGTAACATTTTAATGAAATTTCACTTATACATTTCAAAATTTGTAATTGTTTTAATGAAGTTATTTTTTACTAGCCCCTTGTTATTTCATCTTAACTGGATTTTCAGAAATTATAAATATATTAAGATATTTTGCTGGCTCTGAAATGTGAAAACAAAATTCGAACTTTACTGAGCATTAGGTTTTTAAAATTAAGAATTATTTTACTGACAAAATCTTCTTGATCTTTCATTTATTAATTGCTTTCTTTTATTTTATCTGATCTGTGAATATTAATTGGAACATATAAAATGAATTAACTTTCAGTTATCTCTTTTATGTCTTTGAACTGACCTAAACATTGTTTAAAAAATTGTTTTTAATTGAAAGTAATGAGAATGGTTTATTTTGACAGGCTTTTGGAAATGCAAAGACTGCTCATAACAATAATTCAAGTCGTTTTGGCAAGTTTATTCAAGTTAATTACCAGGAAACAGGCACTGTACTTGGGTAAGTACTGCTTTGGGAAATTTTTAATTTTTGTTATTACTCCTTTATGAGCTACAAATTGTGACATTGGTGTATGGTAGTAAGAAAGAAAAATAACCCACAATTTTTTTTGGCGGGAAGTACAGTACTCGGTTGAATAGACTTATGTATGTTAGGCAACCATTCTATCCATGAGATAACATCTCTAGCCTTTTTAATTTTATCTTCAGACCAGGTCTCACTGACTTTGCTAGACTGGCCTTGAACTCACAGTCTTCCTGCCTCAGCTACCCAAGTGTCTGTGATGATAGGTGTGTGCAACATGCTGGCCTAAAACTTTTTCCTCTCATTTTTCTTTTCTTTTGGAAAAGTTTACAACCTCAGGTTGTAAGAATATGTAACACTCATACACTCTTAACTTATACTTATTATTAACAATTTGTTGCATTTACTTTTCTCTGTTATATATACATTTAGTTTTTGGAATGGTTTTCAAGTAAGTTGGACATAAAACTTGACTCCCTAATTATACTAAAATAATTACACGTTTGTACATGCTGATATTAGTGTTCTTAAAATCAAGAGATTGAATTTTGTTTACTAATAATTCTTATATAGTCTTAAGAACAGAGTCTTTTGTGCCAGCTTTAAAAAACTAATAGACTATTTTTTAGAGCAGTGTTAGGTCAATAGCAAGTGGAAAGTACAGAGAATCCCCTTATATTCCTTCATACTATGTTCCATAACCTCATAATCCCTAGTATAAATATCTTACATTAGTTGTGCATTTGTTCCAATTGCTGGGCCAATGTTGTTGACATATTCTAATTAATTCTTAAGTTAATAATTTGCTCTTAGGTTCACTGTGTGTATTGTACATTCCATGGTTTTTGACAAATGTATAGAAGATATGTACTCACCATTACAGGGTAAAACAGAATAGTTCCACCTCCTACCTGGTAACCTTTGGCAACTACTAACCTTTTTACTGTCTCCATGAGAAAGGGCCCAGAGTCCCCATTGCCCCTTTCAGAGCATGTTTGCAATACCTTAATTTGCTTCCCTAGGTCTTGTCTTCTAAAGGTTCTGCCATTTCCCATTGTCACAGACTGGCAATCAAGTCTTTAGCATGTGGACCTTTGAGGGACATTTAATATCCAAACTATAACAAATACCATAATAATATTGTTTCTGTACTTTACTTGACTGTTTTTTTTTTTTTTTTACCTTTTCTCCAAAAGTAAAATACTGGCTTTAGGACCTTTAATTATGTTAACCAATTAAGCCTTGATTTTAATTTTCTTTAGTGCTTTTGTCAGTAATAGGTATTAAATTTTATCAGAAGCCTTTTTGGTATTTATGGAGATTAATCAGGTCTTTATCCTGAGATTTATTAATATTGTCATTTCCCCCCAGTATTTAACTATGTTTCATTTTTGGGAAAGGAATTCCACTTGGTAAATACTGCCCCCCCCCCACCAAATTGGTTGTTATGTTCTATTGGCTAGGTTTTTCTTTTTTTTTTAAATTTATTTTTTTGGTACTGAGGATTGAATATAAGGGTGTTTTACCACTGAGCTACATCCCCAGTCCTTTTGTTTGCTTATATATTTATTTAATTTTTCATTTTGAGACAGGGTCTTAATAAGTTGCTAAGGTTGACCCCAAATTTGTGATTTGTGAGTTGCTGAGATTATAGGCATGTTCCACCACACCTGGATCTGTTTGTTAGTTTTCATTATGATACTTGAATCCATATTAATAAGTGCAATTTATCAGTACTTTTCTTTTTCATGCTATTTTACTTGTTTTAAAATTTTATAATTTCTGCATTTAGATAAAAAATTATCGACCCCAACTACTATGTGTTTCCCTCTACCACCTGTAGAAAACCAAAACCAAAACCAGTTTAAGAAAAGCAAAAACAAAAACAAGAGATAAGTCCTTTTTCTATGGTAAGATTGTTAGCTCATCTATTTTTCTGATTCTGAAGGCTAATTAGATACCTTTGGTACTTTTATTCATAAAAGTGGGATAAGTCAAGTCATCAGACTTTTCTTAGTATTAGATTGATAATAGGTGAAGTCATAGTGCTTTATAACTTATGAAATATTATTAAATTCTCAAAAACAGTTTTGTGATTCAGGAATAGCAGACATTTTCCCATCTTCTGAAGGAAATTCAGGCTGTTATGTGTTAATATCTTAAAGATTAACCTTTTTGTTATGTTATGATCAATAATAATCTTCTTTGTTGATAAGCCAAGAAATATGTATTAAACAGTTTTTATTCTTTCCTTATTTTATTTACTGAGCAAGGTTTATAGAATACATTTTGAGAACCAGACAATGTGATAAGTAAGGAGAATATAAAAAGATGTAAACAAGTTTTCTGTTTTTAAAGGTCTCATTGTCTGTTTGAGATGACAGATATGTATATAAGTTAATTACAGTAAATGAGATCAATGCAATGATTGAAATACGTGTCTGGAGGTTTCACATAAAAAGGTGATTTCCAGGGGCTGGGGTTGTGGCTTAGTGGTAGAGTACTTGCCTCATACATGTGAGGCGCTGCGTTTGATCCTCAGCACCACATAAAAAATAAATAAACAAAATAAAGTTATTGTGTTCATCTACAACTAAAAAATATTTAAAAAGGTGATATCCATTGAAAATTTTCCAAGAAGGACTGGGATATTACATTATTAGTTGAAATGATAATTAGTAAATGAGTGGAATCATGACAACATGGTATATTTGAGGAAGTAAGATACATGGTTATAGAACATGGTCATAGTGGTCAGTTGATGTCCAGTTTTGTGAATAAAACTCAGATGTTTGTAAATATTTTCTTGACATTGTGAAACAATGATTAAAGAATTTTATACAAAACAATCTTACACAAATTAAATAGTACATGGAACTCCTGGTAAGATTCAACAATGATTAAAATTTGTCATATTTGCTTTATCTAACCCTTTCTTCTTTTTTTAAAATATATTTTTAGTTGTAGATGGACACAATACCTTTATGTTATTTGTATATTTTTTATGTGGTGCTGAGGATCAAACTCATTGTCTCACACATGCTAGGTAAGAGCTCTAACACTAAGCCACAACCACAACACCCCTTTCTTCTTTTGCTATGCTGATTTTTTAAAAATCACAGACATAATATCAGTTTACCTCTATGTGCTTCATTATGTTGAGCAAGTGAAAGTAAAAGAGTAACATAACTAGATCTTATGTTGTAGATGAATAACACTTGTACCAGTATCACCTGTGGATTGAGGGAAGAAAAAAGATATTACTCCATGAAGTAGTTTGTTGGTTTAGTTGGAAGAGAGAGCTTTTGCAGTTAAAGCAGACCTGGGTTTATGTCATAGTTGTACAGTTTACTAGTATATGGTCTTAATATCTTTGAGCATCAATTTCTACATTTGTAAAATAAGGGATGTAATATTTGCTATGAAGGATGGTTGTGAGAGTTTTACATACTAGTTCATATTAATACCTTTTCTTAATTTTTAGACAGATTAATAAGAGTCTGTTGCAGTAGACTGTTGCATAGTAGTTATTATAATTACTTTGAAAAGAGTGATAATTTAATTGGTGGTGGTAGTAGTAGTAGGCTTGAAAAGAAGCCATATTTGAGCTCCATATTAATAAAGGAATGATATTCACTAAAATGAGAATGGAAATAGATTAAGGAATTACAAGTGGAAGGAAGAATGTTGAGCAGTGTAGTGGGGAGTGAATGATATGCCTGAGAAAATAACCTGTATTTATAACTAAGTAGAGAGAATGTGATGGGGAGGAATTTCGTTAAACACAGCTCACAAGTCAAATTTAACCCAAAGTAATTTGGATAGAATAGTGTAAAATTTAAAAATCTAAAAATTTTAGAAACCCTTTTCTAGAGAATTATAGAAACCCTTTTCTAGAAAATTAAAATGTTAGGCAGTTGCTCCTGTTTGGATGAGAGGTATTGAACTTGAAGGTACAGCCTGGGCAAAGAATAAAATATGAGAAATAAAATTGATGGTTCAGTTCCTCATTTTTTTTCCCCCAGGTTAAAGTCCGTTCTATAGCTTGTAGTATGTTAACTCTTTTTGATGTAATCTTTCTACCCATCTCATTTTCTTGGCTGTATTAAGACTCATTAGTTTGTGGACTTAACATTGGATAATACAGCATCCTTAACAATTATAATGGTAAATGTACTAAGATGATCTGGAGCATATTCTTTGTACTTTCGTATCATTATAAAAAATATGTATCTGCTTCTTATTTATTACTTTTATTAATTTACTTTTCTTCTAGTGCCTATGTTGAAAAATATCTACTGGAGAAGTCCAGGCTTGTTTATCAAGAGCATAATGAACGGTATGTATTTTTATTTGTATAATTTTATCAAGTTAGCATTAATAGTGTACAGATTGACTTTTAGTTACTTTGTATATTAAGACCTTGAATTCAGGGCTAGGGATATAGCTCAGTTGGTAGAGTGCTTGCCTTGCATGCACAAGACCTTGGTTCGCACCCCAGCACCACAAAAAAAAAAAAAAAAAAAAAAGAAGACCCTTGAATTCACTTAACACCATGTGTAGTTTTACATGTAGTTGTTATTTTTTTCGTGAACAGAATTCTGTGGATTTTCAGAGGTTGTTAGGTGATTTGTTTTTAAATATATTTTAATTGTAGAGGGACACAATACCTTTAATTTATTTATTTATTTTTATGTGGTTCTGAGGATTGAACCCAAGTGTCTCACATGTGCTAGGCAAGCACTTTACCATTGAGCTATAATTCCAGTCCCTATTAGGTCATTTTATTGGTATGTAGAATTATTGCTTTTTCTAAATTTTTGGCAAACCATCAGAATAGGAAAACCATTTCTTAGGTGATAAAACCTTTTCTTTGTTTCTAATTGTTGTTTTTCTAATTTGAAAAAAGATTCTCAATAGAGCACTTAATTCAGTTACAATATTTGAGGAATATGGGACTTTAGACATGATGTATGTGTTATCATTCATATGAAGAAACCAAGTATGAAAGAGAGAAATGCTTTGCTTCATGATATAGTGAGACAAAGTAAAGTTAAGATCTAAAGTTTGAAGTTAAAATAGACACACATTAAAAATCTTTGACTCAGGCATCTCACTTTACTCTTAGGCATTTATTCCCATTTTATACATGGAAAACTATTCTAGAGTTGTTTAGAGGATTAATTGAAATTTGAAAAATGCTTATTGAGTGGTCCTCATATAATAAAAGTTCAGTAATTAATGGTAACATTGTCTTAATGAATTACAGGCAGGATTAGGATAAGAAGTTTGGCTTTTCAGTTATTTTGTATCTATTTTGTGGCTAGCAGAAATAGAGGATATTGGAATTAGAGGTGTTTCAAAACAAAGGGAGAGGACTGGAAGAATAGCTTAGTGGTAAGAGCATATGCTTAGCATATACCAGGCCCTAGCACCAAGCAGTGGAAAAAAAGAGGAAGTTTTAGGAAGAGAGTAGCTTCATAAAGGCTTATGGGACTTAGCAGGTGCTGCTATTAGGAGGTTATTAGTAAATTTTTCTGATTAGTTCCATGAGGGTAAGTAATACCTTTTGTTCATTCTGTCATGCTCAGTTAACACATTGTCTAGCATATAGTAGACACTGAAATATCTGTTGAATGAATAAAATAATGATCCCTAAGGCCCCTTCCAGCTAAAAACAGTATAAAGTGAGAGGCATTTATTTATGGACTAAACATTATCTAAGTGTTGTTCACTATGATCAAATCAAACAAATGGCTGCATTCCAAGTTTAGTTAGAACTTGGTTGATATCAATTAATTAGTACTCCCCTGTATTAAGGATTGAACCCAAGGTATGAGCACATCCCCAGACCATCCCCCCCCYTTTTTTTTTAAACTGGGGAGCTTAATCATTGAGCTATATCTCATCCTTTTTGAGAAAGGTTGTTGAGGCTGGCCTCAAACTGTGATCCTCCTTCCTCTGCCTCCCAAGTTGCTCAGATTATAGGAATATACATTTTAGTGGAATGGTGGGGATATCAGCCTGCTTTCCTAGTTTTAGAAATGAATGGGAGGTAAAGATCCAGATTTACAAACCGATTCTCTGACACCTTGATGGATTTGATTTGCAGTTACATGCACATACAAGCCTTTTGATATGTTGTTATATTTGGCTTGCTATTATTTTGCTGTGGATTTTTCTGTTTATTGCTCTAAGTTTTTTTTTTTTGTGATGTCTTTTTCTATTTTGATATTAGGGTAGTAGTACACTGGTTCATAGAATAAAATGGAAACTGTACCCTTTTATAATATTTTGGAAAGGCTTGTGAAGAATTGGGTTCTTTAAATGTTTGGTAGAATTCACCAACAAAGTCATCTGGTTCTGGGCTTTCATTTATGTAAAGTTTTGATTTGTAATTCAAACAATTTGGTTGTTATGGATATATTCAGACTATTTCTTCTTTAGTCAGATTTAGTAGTTTGCATCTTTCTAGAAATTTGTCCATTTTATCTAGGTTATCAACTTGTTAAACAAATTTTGTTTATAGTATCTCTTACAATCATTTGTTTCTAAATTTGAATCTCTACCTGCCAGCCTTATCTTTCTTCCTGTTTCTCTTGCTCTCATATAATTTTAAAGTTTTTTATTTTATGGATCTTTGCAAGAAACCTATTTTTTTTGTCTCATTGATGTCCTCTATTTTCCTGTTTTATTTATTTGTGCTCTGATGCTTATTATTTTATCTCTTTTGCTTGCATTTGGTTTAGAATGTTGCTTTTTTCCTAGTTTCTTAAGGTAGATAGTTAGGTTATAGATTTGAGTTTTTTCTTTTTTTTATTATTTTTTTTTAGTTGGAGTTGGACATAATACCTTTATTTTTATTTGTTTTTATCTTTATGTGGTGCTGAGGATCGAACCCAACACCTTGCAAGTGCTAGGCGAGTGCTCTACCTCTGAGACACAGTCTCAGCCCCATATTTTTCTTTTAATACAGGTTTACAGGTATAAATCACAGTTTTAGTCAGCTTTTTCACTCCTTTGACTAAAAGATCCAACCAGAACAACTGTAGAGAAGCAGAAATTTATTTGGGGGCTTAGGGTTTCAGAGGACTTAGTCCATAGGCAGCTGGCTCAAGGAGAGGTTAAACATCATGGCAGAAGAGTGTGGCAGAGGGAAGCAGCTCACATGATGATCAGGAGAGAGAGAGGGATAGAAACTCCCCTCCCCAGATACAAAATACTTAACTCAAAGGCACACTCCTAGAGACCCACCTCCTCCAGTCACACCCTACACACCTACAGTTACCACTCAGTTAATTTCATTAGGGGATTATTTCATGGATTGGGTTAAGACTCTCATAACCCAATCATTTCTCTTCTAAACCTCTTTCATCGCCTCACACATGAGCTTTTAGGGGACACCTCACATACAAACCATTAACACATTGCTTCAGCTATTTCCCCTGTTTTGGCATGTAGTTGGCTCTCTGTATCCATGTGTTCTACATCTATGGATTAATCAATCTCAGTTTGAAAATATTTGGGAAAAATTTGCATCTGTACTGAAAATGTGCAGTTTTTTTCATTATTTAAATATTATAGTAATGCAACTATTTTTCTTACATTGTATTAGGTATTATGCTGAGGGATGATTTAAAGCATATTGGAAGATGTACATGTTTTATATGCAAATTGTATGCTATTTTATTATATAATGGACTTGAACATCTTCAGATTTTGGTATCTGGAGGTGAAGGGGTGTCTTAGAACTAATCCTTGATAGATACTAAGGGGTGTTAATATTTTTGTGGATCTGAAAGTATTTCCTTTGTGATTTCTTCTTGAATCCATTGGTTATTTATGAGAGTGTTATTTCATTTCCACATATTTGTGAATTTTAGAGATTTCTGCTTTTGATTTCTAATTTTATTGTGAAGTGGTTGAAATGGGTGTTGTATGATTTCAGTTTCCTTAATTGAGACTTATTTTATGGTCTGACATATGGTTTATCCTGGAGAATGTTTCATGTGAACTCAAGAAAATGTATATCCTTCTGTTGGAAAGTGTTCTATAGATGATTGTTAGGTAGTATTTTTCAGTCTTTTTTCCTATTGATCTTTTGTCTGGTTATTCATCCATTATTGAAATTGGAGTATTAAAGCCTCTCATCATTGTTGAGTTGTCTATTTCTTCCTTTGGTTCTTTCCACTTTTTGCCTTACATATTTTTGGGCTCAGCTTAAGATGCATTTATATTTAGAATTATTGTATCTTGATGGATTTGTCTTACGTGTCTAGGAACAAATTTTGTTTAAAAGTCTTATTTCATCCAATATTAATGTAGATACTCCAGCTTTCTTTTGGTTACTATTTGCATGTTATATATAGGAAGTTTGGAAATTTATATTTTTTATGTATTTTCAACTTATTTGTCTTTGAATCTCAAGAGTGTATCCTATAGGTAGCATGTAGTTTGATTTAAGTTTTGTTTTTAATCCTTTGCCAGTTATCTGCTTTTGGATAGAATGTATAGTCCACTTCTATTTCATGTAATTGCTGTTACAGTAGGATATTCTTATGCTCTTTGTTTTCTGTATGTGTTATGATATTTTTCTTCATCTATTTTCCTAGTACTGGTATTGTGTTAAGTAAATATTTTTTATGGTACCATTTTATTTCTGTTGGTATTTATTTTATTATTTTCAGTAAATTTTTAGTGGTTTCCCTGGGGATTATAGTTAATATCTGAATTTGTAACAGTTGTGTTTGGATTAATAACAACTAAATTTTGATAGTGTACAAAAAATTGTATTTCTGTTAATCTGTTCTTTCCCATTTTGTGCTGTTATTTTCATGCAGATTACATATTTACAATGGTACATTCATTAACACAGATTTCATAATTATTGCTCAGTGCGGTTTAAGTTTATTAGAAAAGCATTACAAACAAAAATATATGCTTTCTTTTAAATTTACCTATGTAGTTACTTTTACCAGTGTTTTTATTATTTCTTTATGTTTAGTTAAATCTTCCTTAATACCCTTTTAAGGGGCTGGAGTTGTGGCTCAGCTTAGAGTGTTCGCCTACCATGTGTGAGGCCCTGGGTTCAATCCTCAGAACCACATATACAATAAATAGATAGATAGATAGATAGATAGATAGATAGATAGATAGATACATACATACATAAATATCCAACTACAACTAAAAAATAAATATTTAAGAAAATACCCTTTTAATTCAGCCAGAAAAACTCCCCTTAATATTTTTTGCAGGGCCCAACAGCTAACTATGGAATCTTAGTTTTTGTATATTTGAGAACGTTTTAATTTCTCTATGATATTTAAAAGATAATTTCCTGAATACATAATTGGTGGTTGACAGGTTTTTTTTCCCCTTAAAGCACTTTGACTGTGTTATCCCTTTGCCATAGTTCCTTATGACAAACTAGCTGTCAATCTTATTTTAGAATATTTTGATGAGCTATAATGCTTTGGTGCTTCCAAATTTTTTTGACTTTATCTTTCAACAGTTTTGGTTTGCATAGGTGTGAAATTTTTTGAGTTTATCCTCCCTGGAATTTGTTGAGTTTCTTGGATGTTGAATTATCTTTTTGCAACTGTGACAAATATACCTGGAAAGAACAACTTAGAGGAAGAAAAATAATATTTAGCTCATGATTTCAACGGTTTCAGTTCATGGTTGGCTGGCTCCATTGCTTTGGACCTGAGGAGAGACCCAGTATCAGTGTCAGAAGGGTGTGGTGGAGGAAAGCTGGCATGAACAGAGAAGAGGGAGAGAAAGAAAGGAAGACAGGCACAGCGTGCACAGACATGTGCGCGATGGTGCAAGATAAGAAATTCCCTTCTAGAGCACACTCTCAGTGACCTACTTCGTTTAATTTTGCTCCAGCACCTTTGTTTCCACCACTTTCATTCAGCTATTAATGGAATAAACCACTTGTGAAGTTAGAGCCCTCTTGATCCAATCACTTCCCAACAGCTTCACCTGTAAATATTGCTACATTGGGAATCAAGCCTTCAACACATAAGTCTTGGGGGTTACATTCAAGTTCCAAACCCTAAGAGATGTGCAGATTGTTTTCCATCACAAGGGGTAGTTTTTGCCAATTATTTTTCAAATATTGTTTCTACACCCTTTCTTTTCTTACATTGGGCTTTTCGTTATATATATATTATATCATATATAATATATATATTATTTTTTTAATGATGAACTATGTGAGACTGTTCATTTTTCTTCATTTTTGTTCTTCTTCACCAGACTAGTCTGATTGACCTTTCTTCCTTCAAGTTCAGTGATTCTTTCAAGTTCACCAATTATTTATTCTGCCTATTCATATCTATTATTGAACTCAGCAAACATTTTATAAAAATTTTAATTTCAATTATATCTTTCAATTCCAAAATTTCTTTTTGATTATTTTTTTAAATAGTCTTTTTGTTGAGATATTTTTGTTATACTTTATTTCACTAAATAGGATTTTCTTTAGTCTTTGGTTATATTTAAAATAGTTGTTTAACAGCATACTCTAGTGATAGAGCCACATCAGTGTTAATAGCAGTGCACCTCAAAATAGCCAAGTYATGAAACCAGTTCAGTGGCCATCAGTAAGGTGGCTGAGTAAAAGAAATAAAGAAAGAAAGAAAGAAAATGAACTTATAGCATTTGGTGATAAATGGATGGAACTGGATAACATGGTAAGTGAAATAAGCCAGTCTCAGAAAATCAAGGGTTGAATATTCTCTCTTATATGCTGAAGGTGGAGTATGGGGAAGAAGAAGTGTGTTGGGGGGGTTGGCTATCAGATCAATAGAGAGGGAAGATCAGAGGAGTAGAAAGAAATTTAAGGGGAAGAAGGAGGGACAGGAAAGGGGAGGAAATGCACAAGGAATTTGACAAAATTATGCAGTGTACATGTATAAATATATCACCGTGAATTTCATTTTTATATATATCTCTAAAGCATTAATTAAAAACATATAAGTGATTGCGAGGTAGACTCGTAGAGRAGAAGAAGCAGAATAGAGGAGGCGGGCAGGGTGGGTACTAGAGGCTGAAATGGAATAAATTAAATTCCATGCATGTTTTACTGTGTAAAAATGAACCTAATATTATTTACAACTATAATGGACCAATAAAAGGAAAAAAAGGACTGGGGGATATAGCTCACTTGGTAGAGTGTTTGCTTTGCATGTACAAGGCCCTGGGTTCAATCCCCAGCACCACACACACACATAAAAAAGGAAAAAAATAGCTGATTAAAATCTTGTGATAAGTGTAATGTCTGGGATTTCTTAGAGACAATTACTAATGATTTTTTTCCTCCTTTTTCTACTTTGCTATATTTTCTTATTCCTTTGCGTGTGTCATAATTTTTTATTGAAAATTGGACATTTTAAATCATATAATGTAGCAACCCTGGAGATGGATTTTTCCTCTCTCAGGTTTTGTAATTGTTTTTATTTCTGTTTGATTATTTCATGACTTTTCTGAACCAACTTTATAAAATCTGTATTCTTTTTTGAGTGTGATCATTGAGTGCTTATTTCACTTAGTTGTCAGGTAATGATTGGACAGAGATTTCTTTAAATGTTTGGAAATAAATAAGTCTTCTACTCTTCGCCACAAGGCTCTCCTGTATCTGATGAAGGTTGTGCCTTCAATACTCAGCTGCTAGGCATATTTTAAATCCACCTTAGTTAGTCTTTATTTCTTGCTTGTCCAGACCTTCAAGGTTAGATAGAGTTGAGAGTTTGTACCTCAACTGGTCTTTGTACATACAATCCTAGTCTAGTACACAGCTTATGCATGTGTTTGGTCTCTTTGATTGCCAGAAATATATTGGAACTTTTGACCTTAAGTTTTTTTTTTTTTTTTTGGTTAACCTCTTATTTACCCCAACTGTGTGAATTCCATCAGGTCATATAAAAAGAGACTTGAATATGGCTTCTTTGAGGGAAAACCAGACAGTTAGAATATTGGTATTTAGGGAATGAGTTCTTGAATAAGCTTCAACCCTGTGACATCCCTTCTGGTGGTTGCCAGTCTTCTGGTGGCCACCATGATTGCAGGCTGTTGGTTTTCAAGACTACTGATGAATTGGTGAAATTGCAATTTTKGGGGACTGGGAGTACCGAGGATTGACTCAGAGGCACTCAACCACTGAGCCACATCCTCAGCCTTATTTTGTATTTTATTTAAAGACAGGGTCTCATTGAGTTGCTTGGTGCCTTGCTTTTGCTTTGAACTTGCAGTTCTCCTGCCTCAGCCTCATGGAGCAGCTGGGATTACAGGCATATGCCACCATGAGTGGTGATCATTGCAATTTTTAAAAAATTTACAAAGTTATGAAGAAGTTAATTCTGACAAATTTGCAAGTTTTCTCATTTGTTATAAGAACGACATTTTGCTACCTTTGTTCCTCTCCTTTACATTCTGAACCTAAAACATCATTCTCTTTTGTAGGAAAACTTAAATATTAAATCCATTACATTTGTATTAAAAATTAAGCCCTTCTAATTCATTTTACTAAATAATGTTTCCTCATTTTTTCCTGTTAAATGATTACTGTAAATCCCATGTTCATTTTATAAGGCTTTACTTTTCTTTGTTTCCAATAGGAACTATCATGTATTCTATTACCTTCTGGCAGGAGCAAGTGAAGAAGAAAGGTTAGCATTTCATCTTAAACAGCCAGAGGAATATCATTATCTCAATCAGGTGAGATATTCAAGAAAAGCATTTTGAAATGTAGGGCATGATTAAATTTTCATCCTTGAAGAAAGCTTTTATTTCCTAGTCCTTTCTTTCCGAAACCTGGTAATGGATATTAACTAGCATTTTCATACATACAATTTAAAAATTTATATGATGCAATTTTCAAATATACAAATTATCAGCACCCTTGTGTGTTAAAAATTAGTTATATGTACTCTTTCTGTGTTTTGTGATGGAATATAATAAGTTGCTTATTGGTACTTCCATATGAGAAATGTGATTTTGCCAAAGTAATTTACTTTTTACAGAGTAATGATTGTCCTTTATAAAGGGATTACCTGAAACCTGATTTGCATGTTTTACAGTCTTAATGCAACTACCTCTTTGCAGGTTGTTATGACACTGACTTAAGAGTTTGACTTTACAATTTAATGATTTTTTTTTTTTTAAAAAAACATTTAGTGTGAAATTCCTCTAACTGTGTGTGGTGACACATACCTGCAGCCTCAGACAGGAGGATTTCAAGTTCAAGCCCAGCTTGGGCAAAATAGTGAGACCTTGTCTCATTTATAGAATGAGACTAAAAAGGAAAAAAATTTGAAAGGCAAATGAATTGAAGAATTTAAATGTTTCTTTAAAATTCAATATTTACCCCTAAGCTTCCAAAATAAGGAGTGATTCTCATAATTTTCATAACATTGATTTCTCTAATTTTATTTCTCATATTAACAAAAATTCTAAAACCAGTATTAATGGAATTGCTATAACGGGACCATTTAATAGATTGTCTCTCCTTATTTTTTGTTTGATGCAAAATATAATGTCTATGGAAAAAATTTCTTTATGGCAATTAAAAAATACATATGTAGATTTTTAAAAATTAATTAATTCTTTAATGATGACTCAAAGATTATAGGTTGTATATAATGTTATGAAAGTAACATCTTAGATTTTTCCTAAGAGTGTACTGTATAACTCATATTTCTTAATCTTGAAATTACATGTTAATATAATTTTCCTTAGCTTTATATTAATATATCAAGAATTTCAAAGTTATTCAAAATACCATTTATATATGATATAATAATAGACATTTTTATCAGGCAGAATTAAGAAAATTTAAAAAAATTGCCAATTCTGTTTCTGGGTTTTTTTCCTTCTCTGTTTAAATTACTTGCTTGGTATTTGGGTGATTAAATATTTTCTTCTTTGCAAGGTAGTAATCATCCATAAATGAGTTGATAGTTGTTAGTAGCAGGAAATCCAGACTTCTGTTTCCTTCTAATATCAGTATTAGGATGTGGGAATCATCAGTTGATGAATATCAGAGTCAGTGGACAGTAGCATATATGGGTTCGACAGAATAATATATGATCTCCAATGATCTGAATGCTTTTTTCTTATTTTATATTGCTGTACAAAGTAACTTCTATTTAGATAGCAGTAGTGCTACCTGCATATAACATCTAAGAGATTGTTAGAGAAGTGTACCATTACTTAATAACTTTTGCCTAACTAATCTGCTTTACTTTCAGATAACAAAGAAACCCCTCAGACAGAGCTGGGATGATTATTGCTATGACTATGAGCCGGTCAGTACAAGTACCTAAATATTATGTGTTCCTGTTAAAAGGCCCTCATGTTGCTTATTTATATACATCTTGAAAACAGTGTAGGAAAGAAGATCAGTCAGTATTTGATTTCTCTGAATGATTGATTTATATGTATATGGTTTGATTAAAAACCAGTTTACAATTTTGGATATTTTTAAAATTTGCTAATGTTTAATCTACATTTAGTATTTATTTTGATAATGAACTGCAGCATTGTTATGTATGGATCTGTATGAATTATGTTATTTTCTCTGAGATTTTTAAAAATTACTATTTAGCTGTTTTATTACATCACATATTATGAGTAGTGATTATTTATTTAAAAAAATTACGTTATTCCTGTTTCCTGTGCCAACAATCTTTTCACAAAACGAATGCATGTATATTTTTCTTCTTTTTAAAAATTGCATAACAGGCTACTTGGGTTAATAAAATGTTTAAAAAATTAAGTATTGAAATTCCTATAAGATTTTTAGGGTTTAAATTGAATTATTTAAGGGCTGGGGATGTGGCTCAAGCAGTAGTGCTCTCGCCTATCATGCATGCAGCCCGGGTTCGATCCTCAGCACCACATACAAACAAAGATGTTGTGTCTGCCAAAAACTAAAAAAAAATATTAAAAAATTCTCTCTATCTCTTAAAAAAAAAAGAAAAAATTGAGTTATTTAAGGACATATAAAATGTAATAAAAATGGGTAAATTGAGCTTTACTTGTTATATTTTATAAAGACAAGTTTCTAGCCGTAAAAAGAACACAGAAAACCTTGTTGAATCAGTTTTTAATTAGATCAGATGTAAAGGCTAAAAACACAGATACATCTACTATGTTTATTAATAACTAATAAATTAATTTATTAAATTTATTCCTGGAAGCATAAGCATGTCTTAGTCCTTGCTTTAAAAATCCACAGCTTTAATTCTCACTGCTTGTGATTATAAATTCCACTAATTGCAAAAGTAGTCTGTTTTCTGGGGCTGGGGTTGTGGCTTATCAGTAGAGTGTTTGCCTAGCATGCGCAAGGCCCTGGGTTTGATCCTTAGCACCACATAAGAATAAATAAATAAACTACAACTAAAAAATAAATACTAAAAAAAGTAGTCTATTTTCACTTTAGAATGACCAGTCTGTGTAGATATTAATTTTTCTCTTAGGTAAAGTTTAATTACATTACCATTTCACAATCAAGAAAAGTTTGGTTTTAGATATAACATTTTGAGAAATAAATTCTATACATTTAAATTTATAAAATTCTGATGAATTTTAATAAGACAAATTTTAAGTTGTTTTGCCATTGTTACGATGCTCCTCCTTTCCATCTTTCCCTTATTACATCAAGTGAATTGGTTATCTTTGGAATGTAGGCAGGACAGGAACTGATCTACATTTTTTCAGAGATGGTGTAAGTAATGTTTAAGAATTTGGGCTCTGAAGTAAAGTACCTCCATTTAACTAGTTTGAGATCGTCAGAAAGGTTGCTTAATTCTTTCATTCTCATCTTAAGGGGAAATATTAATTTGAACAATGCATACGAAAAGCTTGATAGAATTCTGAACACTAAGTGCAGAAAAACTGGTTGTTACTGTTTGCTGCCGTCACTGAAATTGTTATCCATCTTTTCTCTTGAGAAGATTTTTATGACCTTAATCTCCTAATCTTTTAATATTGCTTTCATCAATATTCTCCTGCTGTTTTAGTTTGAACTTTGATTATGTTCTGATTCTTGTTCTTACAAGTTGGTTAATAAATCAGTCAGTCATTCTGAATATCCTGTAGTTTTAGCCTGTTGGCTCTTAACTCTGGTACATTTGGGAACAAGCTAAACTTTCTTTTCCTATGAGTTCCTAGAATTTATGTAACTAGCATTATATCCTAAGAGGATTGTTGAAGGACCGTTCTACCATTTGTGCATGATGTACTCTGCATGATGTATATATTTTGTAATGATATATGAGGGCTCCCAAGGGAACCCTCATGAGAAAATTTATTTTTTATCAGGTAACTGTTGTGAGCTATTGAATGGTGATTTAATTCCTTTTAAGGTTACCCCTATTAAGTAAGTGGCTTCAGGGTTGCAGGGAAGAGAACACAGGATTTGGAAGTGGTTTATAAGATTTTGACTTTGGGCAAGTTTTTAAAATTCTAAATGTTTTCTTGTCTATAAATGTATATTAATTACCTCTGTGTTTTGAGGATTTAGTGCAATTATACATATCAAGTAGATATTTAGTAAGTACAGATTTTCCATATTCAAATGGTATAATCTACTTAAACGGAAGTTATTTTTATTGCTGTTAACATGTCTTAACCTTTGTTTTCTCAGTTGTAAAATGTGGGAAATAAATACTGATATCATTTTGTTTGATGTCTACTATCATTCTTTAAAGCTGGTCTATCAATATAACTGGTCATTAGTGTAAATGGTCAGTTTCACCTGATTGTTTTATCTATCTGAACTAAGCCTGGAATTTTAGGGTTGAAATACGAGGTAGGATTTTAAGATTAAATGATTATGTATTTACTTCAGTAATTCCTCTTGGGGTTGACTTGATGCTTGAGATCTGCAATGAATAAGACAGATTCATTGAGTTCTTTATGGATCATTACCTAGGAAAATAGGCATTTATAAGCACAAATGTAAGAGGTGTTTGACTCTGTAAGTACAAAGTAATGTGAGAACATGTAGTAAAAAGGTTTTAAAGATTTAGATTACATCTACACTGTGTTACTGTTTGTTTTGGGAACTGAAATGTAAAGGTTAAATAAAATAATGTTTTTACTGCTACTCCATAACTTTTTTACTGACTCATATGTACTTTTTGAGAATTTCATAAAAACCTTTACGTGTATTTCTTTCTTTCTTTGCTTGATTGTCATGTTATTTTTATTCTTTCCTTAGAAACTGTGAAATAATAGAAATATAGCTAATAACATAATACATAATATAAAATGCTTCATATTATGTAAATCTATGATCTTATTCTCAGTTACATTACCGCCTGTTCTAAGATTTATTTTTGTATCACCAGGATTTAGTTCAGTGCCTTGAATATGATGGATACTTGTTAAATTTTATTTGTCGAATAAATAACATTTGCTCTTAGACTTGAGCTCTCTTAAATAATATGAGTCTCTTAATTCTTCAGAATTACTTAAAATCAAACTTGGTATTAACATACCTTGTAAGTACCTATAACACTCTATTTTAAGTAATTTTTGAGATTTTTGTCTTGATAATTGTGAAAGGGGGAGAAAAGGTAACTTACTGGTATTTTCGTAGGTATGTGTTTACTTTGCATACCTCTATAGTCAGATAGGAAATATAATGAATCTAGGTATGTATGAGTAGTCTACCAGTTTTAATTTGCATTTATACATACATGTACTTATCTTAAATTACCATGTTTCTTAATGGTCTACATTATTTAATAGGTAATTTTGATTTTTTTCTCTTTTTATCTAATGCAGAATTGCTTCTCGGTGGAGGGAGAAGATTTGAGACATGACTTTGAACGCTTACAACTGGCCATGGAAATGGTAGGATTTCTTCCGAAGACAAGAAGACAGTGAGTTTATTTCTTGTATTCTTATATCCCCAGTAGAGAATAAATCACTACATACATGTCTTTGAAATATTTTTTGTTCTTTGTTTTTTTTTTTTTTTTTTTTTTTTTGGTGTGTTTTTGTATTGAGGATTGAACCTAGCTACATCCCCACTCTTTCATAATTTTTATTTTGAAACAGGGTCTCACTAAGTTGCTGAGGCTGATCTTGAATTTGTAGTCCTCCTGCCTCACATTTACTGGGATTATAGGCATGTGCCATCATTCCTAGTTATTTCCTTTGATTCTTTCAAATAATTTTCTAACTATTGCCTCAGCTATTTTTTTGGTTATAAGTTCTTTGAGAATCCAGAGAAAGCTGGAGCTCTTCTTTATTGTGAAATGTACAGCCATAAACATTCATTGTTCCCCTGAACGCTATCCATGCACCTTACTTTAAAAATACAACACAAACACATATAAAATTATTACTGTATAATGCTACTTTTATAACTCCTCTTTTTCTGTATCAGTGATGTTATGCATATCTGACAACAAAACACAATTTAATTTTGGTATGCAAATTGAAACTTGTTTTCTTTAAAGCTCTGTTCATGTCCTGCCTTTTTTTAATGAAAAATTTCCATAATTGTGCTTTGTTATTACCATCTGTATTTTAAAAATATCTGACCTATAGTATAGTTATTTACTGTCATCATCTAATATAAGGTTTTATTCTTGAGGCTGGGGATATATAGTTCAGTTGGTAGAGTGCTTGCCTCGCATACACAAGTCCCTGGGTTCAGTCTCCAGCACCACCACCAAGAAAGGTACTTTTTGAAAACAGGGATTCTTGTTCATGTTTTAAAATATTTTTTMTGTTGATTTATAGTGCTTTGGATTACTTATATGACATAATTGTTGATGGATCACATATTTGTGTGGGAGAGCATTAATGTGCTGATCATTAAACCCCAGATGTGGAAACAATATAGTTAGCTACCATATAAACTACCACTAAAAATAATTGTTGAAAAAGTGGGTCATGAATTTGTTATGTTTTTTGACCTCCATTAGTTTTTTTTTTTAGTCATGGGGATTGAATTCAGGGGCACTTGACAATGAGCCATATCCCCAGCCCTATTTTGTATTTTACTTAGAAAAAGAGTCTCACTGAGTTGCCTGGCATCCCCCTCTTTGCTGAGGCTGCCTGACTTGCATTAGTTTTTATGTTTCTGTTGATACTGTGTTTATTTTCTACTTTATTTCAGTAAACTTTAATGAATTATTCCTTTACAATCACTCATGAGAGTGATTCAAACATTTTAAAATTTTATGTTATTTGAAAAATTAGACTCATGAACTAGATGTTGATTCAAAGTATATCTGGTTCCTAAAGCAATATTTTTGCTTTATTTAGAATACTTCCTAATTTTAGGAAGACAAGTAGTTATTTTCAACTGGTAAAGGTACAAAGTTATATGTATTTAAGAGATTCAGAAAGGGCTTTTAAATGAAGTGATTAGCTGTGTTAAATGCCTCTGAAATGTCAGATAATGTCATATCTCTTCCTAGCTATGTGGAAGTCCTTGGTAACCTCTGAGATATATTAGGGGGTAGAAGATGCCAAATGTGGTACTAAGTAGGAATAACAAGGTGAAAACAAGTGATTTAATATTTTACTAAGCTTACTTTGAAGAGAAGAACATGTTGAATCTCAGCAGTTTGTTTAAAATAAGAGAAAGATAAAAAAGAGAGTATTTTGATAGAAAGTTCTTCTAGTTTAGGTGAGAGAGAGTTAACTGGAGTCAGTGGGATATAGTGCAAAGGTAGATGAATTGATTATTTACTGGAGGAATATGTTCCTCTGATATAGGGACTAGGCACATGAGAGAGGATCCAGTGTAGAGTATTTCACAAAGGGGTCTAATTATTAGATAATATACCACTCTGGCCTCATACTTAACAAAGAAAAAGCATTTTTAAACATGATTAATCATTAAAAAATAGCCACAGATAACTGATAAAAATGCAAATTTTGAGGCCTTTCCTTCACAGATTTTGTTTCAATGTTTCTAAAATAGTATGGGGAAAATGTATTCCAGATAGAAACAATAGTATTTGTAAACACATGGACTTGTTAAAATACTACAACAATTTCAGGCAAGACATCTCTTGAAAGAAACAATATGTGAGGTGAATAGTGAGCCTACATCCTGGGAACAAATTTTTACCCCTTATACATCAGATAGAGCTCTAATCTTTAGGGTATACAAAGAACTCAAAAAGCTAAACACCAAAAAAACCCAAGTAACCCAGTCAACAAAAGGGCCAAGGACCTGAACAGACACTTCTCAGAAGATGATATACAATCAATCAACAAATACACAAAAAAATGCTCATCATCTCTAGCAATCAGAAATGCAAATTATAACTACTCTAAAATACCATCTCACTCCAGTAAGAATGGCACCCATTATGAAGTCAAACAACAACTGCTGGCAAGGATGTGGGGGGAAAAAGGTACATTCATACATTGCTGGTGGGACTGCAAATTGGTACAGCCAATTTGGAAAGCGGTATGGAGATTCCTTGAAAAGCTGGGAATGGAACCACCATTTGACCCAGCTATTCCTTTTCTCGGTCTATACCCAGAAGACCTAAAAACAACATATTACAGGGACACAGCCACATCAGTATTTATAGCAGCACAATTAACAATAGCTAGACTGTGGAGCCAACCTAGGTGCCCTTCAATGGATGAATGGATAAAAAAAAGTGTCATATATACACAATGGAATATTACTCAGCACCAAAAAATAACAAGATTATGGCATTTGGAGGGAAATGGATTGCATTAGAGCAGATTATGCTAAGTGAAGTTAGCCAGTCCCAGAAAAGCAAATGCCATATGTCTTCTCTGATATAAGGGGGGTGACACAAAATGGGGTGGGGAGGAGGAGCATGGGAAGAGATTACCTCTAGATAGGGAAGAGAGGTTGGAGGGAAAGGGAGCGAAAAGGGGAATTGCATGGAAGGTGGAAGGAGACCCTCATTGTTATACAAAATACATGTATGAAAATGTAAGGGAAAAAAAAAGAATAGTGTCACCTTAGATTGGGTAGAGAGAAGTGAGGGGAGGGGAGGGGATGGGGGAAAGGAAGGATAGTAGAATGAAATAGACATTATTATTACTGTGTGTACATATGTGACCTCATGACCAATGTGATTCTGCAACCTGTACACTCAGAAAAATGAGAAATTATATCCCATCTGATTCAAATGTTAAAAAAAAGAAATCTCTTGAAGCAACTACATAACAAGTGGTATAATACTGGAACTAAGGTCATGTATAGCACTTTGCAGTGACTTTTGATTTATTTGTAGTTATTCTCATGTTTCTTGTTTTTCTGAAAACTATTTGTACTGGTATTTTGCTTAGCAAGAATTTTAGAATGAAACAAGCTTTGAGAATGCACATTTTCAATTTGTAAGTTGTGCTTTTATTTTCACAGGATATTCTCTCTCCTCTCAGCAATACTACATTTGGGTAATATCTGCTATAAAAAGAAGACATACCGGGATGACTCCATTGATATCTGTAATCCTGAAGTTCTGCCTGTTGTATCAGAATTACTAGAAGTGAGTGATGACATTTTCAATTAGCAAGAATTTTAGAATGTAAAATTCTTTTTTGTGTAACTATTTTATAGATATATGTGGATTAATGCTTTTTATTAATGATTTTATTAGATATTCTTTCTTAATAGTGTTTCTAAAAGATGGAGTTCCTCCTGACATCTGCCTTACTTTACTATTGAGTGTGCCAGAATTTATAGACAGTTGTGTTTTCTCCTCTGCCTCTACTTGCTGCACACATTTATAATTACTCAGTTTGTTAGATAGGATGAATATTTCTACTCTAGACTTTATAATATTGTGGAAAAATGTATGTTTATTTTGCTTTTTCCAAATCTGAGATTTTTCTTCTCATAGTGAAGATTTTGGTTAGATTATTTTACTTAAAAATGGGGTTTTGGGGTAGGTGAGTAAAGATAACTGCTTTTTTCTTAATGGGTTGAATATAATTTGAATGTTCTCATCTTCTACTCATCTTTCAGATTCACCCTATAAGATGGAATGTTGTTTCTTACAGACCCTCTCATCTGACAGATCAAGGAAAAATATATGTATATTCTAACTTGTGTATATACACATATCTATAAATATTTCTATATGTAATCATCTTCATCTATATAAAGCTAAGCATGACTTCATACTGAAGTTTCTAAAAATCCATTCCTACATGAATCATTTAGTCTCTCACCTTGCATATCTGTTAACTTCTCCTCAAACAATGAGAAACCCTTTTACACCCTCTGCCAYCCATAAATGTGCAGTTAACAATGTTCTTTTGTAGTAGTTATTTATGGGAAATAACTTTCTCAAATTGAGTATAGTGCCTATGGACAATTCTTTTTGTCTTTAGTCCTAGAGATTCCACTAGTTTCTAAAGTTGCTTAGATTGTCATCTTTTCCTATCTTCTTTCTTGAGATTTTTTTTCTTATATTTGTCATAAAGTTAGTAAAGTCTCTTGTCATGGTCTTTCCTGGAATTTTTCCTAATGTCTTGATAATTAAAGAAATTTACATACATTACTCTGTGCTGAATGGGTTTGACAAGGACATGAAGCCAGGTATCCCCATTATAATGTTATACAGAATAGTTTTACAGGTCTAAAAATTTCTCTGTACTTATTCAACTCTTCTCTCTAAGTTGGTAACAACTTCTTATCATTTTCCTGGTGGTAAAAATTTGTTCTTAACAGAATGTAATATAATGTAATTGCGGTGTAATTGGGATGATAGAGCATGTAGGTTTTCAGAATGATTTATTTTATTTAGTAGTAGGTGTTTTAAGATTTATCCATGTCTTTTTGTGGCTTGATAGTTCATTTCTTTTTACCTCTGGGTAATATTCCATTGTATGTGTGGGTATACTGCAGTATGCTTATCCATTCACCTATTGGAGGAAGTCTTCTTTATTTCCAGTTTTTGGCAGTTAGAAATTATAGCTTACTGTGCCTTTTAGAAGTTGAAATATTAATATTTTCAAATCTTGGTTCATTTGCTACTTCATTGAGAGTAAACTTATTAAGTAGTCTAAACCAACTCCCTATGCATAGAACATCTCCTTCTAGTTGGTGTAGTTTGGGTTTTGTAGTATAAAGTTAATTGTTTTCTAGTTGTGTCCATTAGAAGGCTACAGTGCTCTTGGAGAACCTGGATGCCTTTTTCCTATTTATGTAAGCACAGCACGACACATGACTGGGCATTTCTTTTAGTTATAATGAAATGACATCCTGGAGAAAGGGGCAGGCAAAGGGAGTATCTTAAATTGGAACTAGACTCACTCATTGGAAAGAATTTTATGGGGAGATGGACTGTGGTGCCATAAGATTATAATTTTGAAGGTCTGAAGGTCAGAGAACAAAGAATATTTCAATCAGGCACTTCAGGTGATATTTTGGTCAAGCATTTGGTGGTGTTATAATACTGGACAATATGACTGGTTGGTGTTATTTATATCCAGGCCTTCAGCAAGTATCAGAGCTTCTAGACCTAGTGAATTATTCCTTTTCTGGTGAGACAATGATAAGATAGTCCAGGCAACTTGAAAGAAAAAGGAGAAATCAAATTCTGAGAATTGGAATTACCAGTATCAAAGATGTGATTTGATAGCAGATCTTACTTTTAACCAAATTACTTAATACAAACTACTTAAATTTATTCTTTTGTGTACTTTGGACTGGTTCTAGGACTGAAGGTTGGTATTAAATAGAAAGAAAATAGCTTCAAATTTGTCTACCATGATATACCTGTAATTAGGTCTTAGAAATTATTTTAAAAATTGATGGCCACTAGTTGTTTAAGATTGATGATAATTGAAGCCTTAAAGCTTTGGTGAACTGGCTTAACTTAAAATTTAAGCTGCTTAGTTAAAATTTAATATAATTTCCCATTTTCCTAAAGAGATTCAGTTCAGTGATAAACATAGGTAATTTTGAAGAATAGTTTAAAGGTAGTGATTTAATTTTACTTTTTCTAGTTTTTAAATTTGTTATCTCATGCAGCAATGAATATTTTTATTCTTTTGTATACTAAAGCCTATTTGGATAGATTTTGCTGGTGAGATTAAGTGAAATGTGAAAACTCTACAGTAGATTTATTGTAATTATGGAGGATGTTTTTTTTGTTTTTTTAGAACCATCATCCTTACCAAAAGCTGTTCAGTTTTTATCAGATTTTGTATCTTGAGTATATTTTAACATCTGCTCAAATAATATAAAGAACGGGTTTTTAATTTACATACAGTTTTTCAGTTAGATAAATATGAAATATTGTACATTGAATAGTTAATCTACTGGTGTTGGGTTTGTATTGATAACGTAAAAATTTTGAAAGTCATATGTGTATAACAAAATATTTAGGAAATTTTAGAGGTAGCTGATTCAAATATCAATAATTTATTAATATTTTCTTTAGGATGCTTACCAAATAAAATAAGATTAATGTGTTTTCTGTGGTTGTGCATGTGTATAGATCTATTTATTATCTCTGTCAGGCTTTAGTGCCAGCAGAAAGCCAATTCACCAAAATGACTTAGGTCATTTTCATTCTTTTTCCTGTTTTTAAAAGAAGGATCAATAGTGTGTTCTTGAAAGGTTTGAGAGATCAACCTTATGAGAGTTTTATTGGATGCTTTTCCCATTTGTTCCATGTTAATGAATTTTTTATTACTTTTCAAAGCTGATGTGAATTGTTTTAATAATTCTTATTTTTCTAAGAAATCATATGTTAGACATCTAAAATTAATTATTTTTGATTTCCTTAAAAATATTTTATTAATTTGAAATTTTTTCTCTTTTTGAATTTTGTTTCTCTTTTTTAAACATTATTATTTTAAAATTATGAATTTGAATTTTTCCCTCTTTGAATTTTGTTTGTCTCTTTTTAAAAAAWTTTTTTAAAATACATGACAATAGTGAAATGCATTATACTCATTATTACCCATATGTTTCTCTTAATTTTTTCTTTTGTGTGAAAATTCAGACTTTACTGTAAAAAATCATTCTGAAATTTGACTTTTTAATTTGATATTATATTTTTGAGAGTTTTCAATTCTGATTTATATATTCTAGGTTCTTTTAACTCTTTTAAGATTTCATTGATAAAATACAATTTATATTTTTTCTGTTAGTGGGGATTGAGATTGTTGAATTTTCTACTAATAAATATTTATTCTTTAAAAAGATTTCTTGAGGGGGCTGGAGATGTGGCTCAGCGGTAGCGCGCTCGCCTGGCATGCGTGCGGCCCGGGTTCGATCCTCAGCACCACATACCAACAAAGATGTTGTGTCCGCCGAGAACTAAAAAATAAATATTAAAAATTCTCTCTCTCTCTCTCTCACTCTCTCTTTAAAAAAAAAAAAAAAAAAAAAAAAAAGATTTCTTGAGTCTACAGCATAGGTTTTTTTGTTGTTGGTGGTGGAGTTGGGGATCCTGGGCCTCTTACATGCTGTAAGCCTGTGCTCTACCACTGATATATACTGCCACCTATTTTAAAATATTTATTTTGAATAATTGTAGAAATGTACCATATAATATACCTTTGTTTTTTTCTTGCATATGTTTCTTCTTACCTGTCTTAGTTTTGTTATTTTTTGAAACCCAGTATTATTTGCATTTTTCAAAGTATTTTAAATATATCTATTAGGTTGGGTGCTTTGTATTTAAACTTCATTGTGCATTTTTAGTTTTACTGTATTTTGTGAAGATAATGTGCCTCAAATTATTTGCAGTTTTTGAAATTTGAGAATTGAGCAATGGATACTTTAAAAGAGGGCATATACATATTTTTATGGTGTTATATTTGCCAGATACTTTCCTGTTGAATATGGTTCAAAATTATACTTTCATGGCCAAGTTTAGTGATAGGTACATGCCTGTAATTCCATTGACTCAGGTTCAAGGCCAGCCTCAACAATTTAACAAAATCCTCTTTTAAAAAATAAAATGGACTGGGGATGTGGCCTAGTGGTAAAGTGCACCTGGGTTCATTCCCCAGTACTTAAATATCTGTGAAAGGATTTTTTTTAATCTGACATAAATTACTGATAGTGGGGATAATACTTCCTTCTATTATTTTATAACTCAGCTTTTCCTTATAATGTAACATTATTTTGCTTGACATGGTTTGATATTATGTTGTCTCCTTAAATTTTTATGAATGTAATATTTTCATTACATATTCATGCTTTTATAAAATATCTTTGTTTTACCATTTTATCATCCTCAGTATTATAAAATTTAAAGGCCTGATAAAACCAAATATAGTCAAGGTTTGAGGAAATAGGAGCTTTCAGTGTTACTGTTCAGAGAGCACATTGGTAAAAATTATATATAGGAGTTTGGTAATATCCTGTAAAGCTGAAAATGAGTATCTTATAAACTGATAATTTTATTTTTAAGTTTGTTCATTACAGGAACTCTTGAATTCATATGCAGGAATATTCATTGTAGTGTATTTTCCAGTTGTGCAAAATTGAAAGGAGTGTAAATGTGATTATAATTACGATAAATAGAAGACCATATTACACACAGGTATTATTGGTATGCTATATAGCAATTAAGTGAATAAGCTTAATCTAAATTATAAACATAATTATATCTCAAAAACATATGGCAATATGCTACCATACAGAAGAGTTAAATTTATTTGATAGTATAACATCATGTTTATGAATACATTTAATACATATAAAAGTATAAAAACAAAAACCAAAATGATACATGTCAAATTCATGATAGTAATTACCTCTGGGAGACAAAGTGAGTGAGAACAATGGGAGTGTCAACTTTATTTTAAAGTTTATTATCCATAGATAAAAATAAACATCTGAAACATAAATAAGGGCTTTTTGAGAACCTTCCTGAAATTCAAGAAGTACTGTTTTTCATCCTTGTCTCCAGTTGTGGTATTGTGATTGATTGTTTTAAATAAATTTTTTTATTACTATTCTATATTTTCTATATTTTGCATAATAAACTTATTTTCTGTTATGCTCAGAAAGCAAATTTTAAAAAAACCTGTTTATCTCATGTATCTTATTTTGGTTTTTAGTGGGGGTAATGGGAGTGAGTGAGACAAGTTAAATTCTACTTTGACCAATGTTCAAATTGCTGGTATTTTTCTTGGATTTCCTTTTTTCTCTATTGTATATTTACTGATCCCATATAATATTTTTTCCTCTGTTGGCTTTTCAATAAAATAATTCAATCTTTGTCATAAATATCATATATTGAAATTTACTTTTTTGCTGTATAGGTTAAAGAAGAGATGCTATTTGAAGCATTAGTAACGAGAAAGACGGTGACAGTTGGAGAGAAGCTTATTTTACCATACAAGTTGGCAGAGGTATGGTTTTCATTGAAATCAAAGCATTCTAGACATTCTTAGGAGTTTGTGTTTTTCCTCTTAACAAAATTAAAATGACAATTAAAAAAATCTGTTTACTTACACATTTTCTAAGCCCTTGAAATTTGATCATGAATTTTCCATTCACATAGAAACTGAATGTGATTTTAAGTAGGGGCTTTAAATTTTTTCCCCCAAGGATTTTTCTTCACTGTTCTTTTTAAATTTTTTCATCATTCTTAAGTTTCATATTTTTTTAAATTTCTCTAAATTTTTATTAATTTTTTCACAGCTTGATCCTTTTGTGAAAAGGAAAGAATTTGAAGAATACGTCAATTAAATTTTTTTAAAAAACAGCATTAAGTTTAATATTATTAATATGAGGTAGACAGATAGTAGGTAGAATTATAAATTATCAGTGTTTGTTTGATCTCATTGATTATTCCTTCTTGAGACCTCATTTTTTCCGGTTACCTTCTAGCACATTATACTTTGCTGGGTTACTTTTTTGTGGTGGGCCCCGTATTTGTAGTTCTTTTTGCTTGCTTTTTCTTCTTAACCTCCAAAAAGGTGGTACACTAGGTAGGACACAACCTTTGTCTTCTCTGTATTCTTTATCTACATTATCTCACTCACTCTTATGGCTTTAGATAATATCTGTATAATTTGCCAGATGAAATTTGTGTTTATTACTATACTAAGTGTATAGGATAGTGTGTTAGTCAGCTCTTTGTTGCTGTGTCAAAATACCTGAGAAAAATAACTTATAGGAAGAAAAAATTATTTTGGCTCATGATTTCAGAGGTTTTATTTTTTGGTTGGTCTACTCTATTGGTTTGCCTCCAGTGGGGGAAAGCTGCTTACCTCTTGGCACCTTGGAAGCACCGAGAAAGAAGCAGCAGCTTGAGACAAAATATACCCTTTCAGAACCTACCCCCAACCCTGTGACTTCTTCCACTTAGCCCCTACCTCTTATAGTTTATACCATCTCCCAATAATGTCACCAAATTATGAATTTATCAATGGATTGATCCACTCATTATTCAGTCACTTTCTAGCAGCCCCATCTCTGAAACATTGCTAAATTGGGGACTCCATCCTTCAACATGTGAACCTTTGGGGAACCCTTCATTTCTAAATGATAAATAAGAAAATTATTGAAAATCCATTGATACAGAGGAGTTTTATGAAGGTGATGAGAAACTATAAAATAGTATATGAGTGAGATGAGAAGATAACACAAGTGAAAAAATTGTTTTGGGGCCTTGGAGAATTTTTTTTTAGGCTAATATTGATCATTTATCCTTCTTTTGGGTTCCTCTTAACTATGTCTCTGAGTCTGTATTTCTTCTTATGTCATATCTTACGGTTTCCTACTCTGATAGCACCTTTCTAAATAGTAAAAAAACCCGAACCTTTAAGAGTTTTGCCTTTTTTTCATAAAATGTTTGGTGCTTTTATATTTTGTAAACTTTTTTTTTT